GTAAGAGGTATATATAGAGGTATAGAGGGTGCAGGGGAATTAGAAAATATCAGAATAACAGTGTTTGACCGCCAGGAAATCATGCGTACTTTCACTAGATCACCTAATGAACGATCGCTGAAAAGTTACTGAGATCGCGGAATGAGTGCGCCACCTTCCAAACTTTCTCGAAGTAGTAAAGCCTAATTTTGCGAGTATGCGGATGGTTTGAGTGTATTCTTGTAGAGGAAATCAAGTAGATCATTTCTAGAATAAAAAACCCGAAATCAATATTCAAATTCTATCGGGAGAAAAAAAGTTGCGAAAAAATCCGCAATTATGCATCAACCTATTATTATTATTATTATTATTATTATTATTATGATTATTATTACTATTATTATTATTATTGTTAATGCTATTGTTATATCGCTATTGTAAATAAGAATCCTTATACGCCTCTGCAATTCACAGCCATGGGTTCAAACCGAATAGGAAGACAATTTGATGGAGACCTACTGTTTCACAAATTGTAGAAGGTATTAGAACCTCTCTACATCTCAGCACTACGTGGTTACGCTACGGTAGGGCTACGGTAGCCTTATCAAAATTCTTTTACCCAATGTATTTACATTTAGTGTGTGCCAATATTCCAACAACAAAGAATTTGTAACTATTATAAAGTCTGACTTAAGTAAGATAACTAAGTATCTAGACGTGGAGAAAAGGGCCTTCGGAGGATTATTAGCGAACTACTTAGACGAATACTGGTTTCTATGAATTACTGGGGAATTTCTGATGAGTACAACTTCTCAAGCATGATTAATTCAGAGTACTCACTCCAAAAAATTTACTATATTTATTAATTCCATCGGCGATATTACCGGATGGCGTCACCGCCCTGCGAAGTGAGAAAACTAACTCACATTATCAGACACGGACAGGTACATGATGATGGTTGCCCCGGTACTGCTACAGCTGATGTTGATCAGTGACAATGTCGACTCTACGATGTCTTGGGCGGATTTGGGATTCGAAATCGTCTGACGTCGTGCAGATTCAGTACTTCCTCTCCACTGCCTTCCTTCCTCCCATGAATAGAAACGACGATTAGAGGCGATTTTTGTCACGCCGCTTCGACGCCAAGTATTTGGATGACAACGTTTGCGTGTGTCACGCCAGAGGAACAAAACAAAAAATGTCGTCGCCATTGAGATCCAATCAGGACGGAAGATGTGGACACGCTCCAACTCGGCCACTTCGTCTCCACGAATCTAACAAAAGCTTCTTCTGATCACGCTGTGTTCGCTGACAGTCACCAGCCAAGGATCACGCTCTTCTTAGGAGGATAGACAACAGATCAGACGTGATGTCCTGAGCAGGAAAATGGAGGGGAAGATCGAAAAATTTCTCCAAGGTGAGGCGACCCGTTGAGGTTTTAGTAGGACCTAGTGCCAATCCATGAGAAGGTTCAGATAGAATGGCTACCTACCGATAGTAAGAGGGATTCCACTTTTGTTTTCTGAGTGATCTGGTGGCTAATCTCACCTTGAAGACTCTATGACTGTGAGCAAAATATGTGCGGCTGGCTGTGGCTGGGATCCTTTAAATGGGAAGGTTCGCACACTATTCTGCAGCAGCACAAAGTTTTGTTTTGAGTCAGTATCTATCTATCTCATTGAGCTCCTTACTTTCACCCTTCATTCAACTTTCTCGTCTGAATGGAAACTTTTACTAGCCACAAGTACACCTAAGGCCTCCCCTAGATTTAGGTATACCTAAGATAAGTCATTGAGGTAAAACAATCGCTTACACGACCGCTCACTAGCAGAAATTCCTTTTTTACTCAGAGATGTCTTTAAATCACCCTGCGGCGAGTAGATTCTCATAGTTCCTTCACATCTCTGGCTCCCGAAGGCTGGCTTTTGTTAAGTCTTCAGATTGAATTAAATATAATATAATTATATTAAAAACGATCATAATAAATGCAGAAATTATTGTATAATATAACAAATTTTCCGGCGCTATACAAGATAACTGCGCATGTAACGGAGCATCGCAACTTGCCAGCCGAAAAGTAAGACGGTTAAAATACATGGAAGTCCCCTAGAGACGAGCAGTACGCTCCGCTAATTTGAGAGTAATTTTCTTTAAGTATTCTGACTACATAAAGAAACTGTCAATATTTAAATTGACCACACCAATGCGCAAGAGAAGATCGTGATATTCAATGTGCGAAAGTAATACTCGTCCAGGACCGCTACTGTACTCCAGTACAAGTACCGTGCTTCCATTTCACCAATATACCGATGTGAATAGAGAAAACAACTAACCTTTTTCAGCAGAATCCACAAAATATCGTCAAAAATTAAGAAAAATGAAAAAAACAGACAACAGCCGCATTAGAGTACGAAACGAAGGCACGAGTAAGTTTATTCAAAAATATTCCCACGGCGGAAATGAAGGCACAAAAAAACGAATGCATGCCCAACTTACTGGTGGTATTTCCGACTTGACGGGATTGATCAGCGGAGTCAGCGATATTGTATACGGTATTAGACCATGTTGACTGAGTCGATGACCTAAACGACAACTCCTGAGGACTTCAGCCCCGAAATCAAATTCCACGATTTGTTGTGTGGCGTAGATAAGACTAACTTGGAATTACGTCAGAATGGACATTTACTAGAAATCACAGAAAATTTTTAGTTGATCAGGTAATGCGTGTCTACCACTATCGGAGGGAAACTGAATAGGTTTCTGCATAATCCGTCGAATTTGGGGGACGCATCGCGCAACTTCAACATTTTCCACCTTTCATTTGTTTACTTGCTTATTGATCTCTTTCATTATTGACATATTTATTTATTTATCTCTTAACATCGTCACCTGAAAACACCATAATTGTCTGACAAAGGGCGGAACCCGAAATACAGAGTGACTCGAACAAAATTTCAACAGAAAATCGCAACAGGCTGTTGCATTTTTATCTGGACAAATTAAAAGAAGGAAGTGGAACTCTCAGTGGCCAAAAATTCAATTTATTCCCAAACCAACTTAAATTAGTCCTTATATTTTTTTACTATGATGACAACGTGAAAAAAAAAGTTTTAATGAATATTGAGATTTATTTCTTCTGGATCTACAGAGCCTTACATTCACTCTGTGAGAAGTGGTGCTGTCCTGATTCCGTTTCTCCAATCCTTCGAGGAATTTCTGGACAATCTGACTACTGTCTAAGCCCAGCTGACCAATGTAGAACGTGCCCGAAGGACTAGCATGTCCAAATCTCCTGAGAGCACATAGAATCCTTCTCCACACTTGTGAGATACGGTCTAGCGGCTCTTATGATACCTCACCCTGGGAGGTCCTCTGGGAAACCATGCTCGGTTTTTGTGCTCGGCTTATGTTTACACAACTGAGTCATTCGAGGGTAACCGTCGTTTTTGTGTAGGCGAAAACGTCATCCGCAGTGATAAGAGATAGCGACTCCGCTTTAAATAAGCAGCGAACCGCCGTATAGTATCAGTCTGTCACAGCAGCGATTCCATTCCGTACCATGTCTAACCCTTCGAACCCTTATGGAAACTACCCACCCTACCCACCACCTCCTGGCCTTCATGGAGGTGTTCCGATTGTGGTTCCTCCACCAGTCGTTCATGCACCAGTCGTGGCTCCACCAGTCGTCATTGTAGACGATCATCATCACCATGGTCATCACCATCACCATCATCACGGCTTCCTTCATGAGCTGTTTCATCCATTCCACCATCTCCGACATCATCACCACCATCACCATTGCTGATAGACGCCGATTGAATGGTTCTGATGTTTCTCGTGAATTTCTACTTGCTCATATTGTACATATCTGTGTAAATTTGCTTGTTAACTAATTAATACAATAAATAATGAAGGTTCACCGAGCAAATGTTCTAGTCTATCGTACTTTTTATAATTAAAGGGTTATAAAACGTCTACATTTATGTAATGTTGTCTTATTCGAGCCATTACCAAAAGTACAAGTCTGGTGGAGGCATCAGTGTCTAAACATCAAAAGTTGAAGCTTGCTACCAAGATTTAAATTGATAATAAAAGTTTATTTAGTTATCATCTTGATAGCAGATTTTATAAAGTCTTGTAAATAAACTCTACTTTCGCCAGTGAATAAATTTAAGTTTCCTTCACCGAATATTGAAGTAGGTTGTAATTAGTTGCGAATAATTCGTTACCTTGGACAATCTGCTAAAACCAGAGTGAAAATTTAACCTCTACGATGAATTTTGCTCGGTTTTGTCGAGATATTTCAATGTTTGCCCCTACACTTATCACCGATAACGCATTGACAAACATGGTGAAGACCTGCGACCATCGGTATGTCGGATCATCACCAGAAGGAGATACAGAATGGTCGAGCAAGAGCAACTAAGCCATATTTAGAGCAGCTGTAACTCTCGTATTTTCATAATGATGTAACTGATACAAGGCCTGTCTGTGTAGAAGAGCGATTCATATATTTGGAGATATTAATAATAAGAGTTTGCATTTGAATATTATATTTAAAGCTTAAACTTATGGTGAAAATGTGGAAAGAAAGCCACCGTAACCACGGACCTAAGGGATAGGTGACGGTGTTACAATAACTAAAACGGAACCTGTATTTTCACCAATATCTACCTAACCTTTAATCCCTATTATCGGACATTTGATTCGTCCGCCTGTTTAAAGATACAGCTTGCGCCATGGCTATCCTCGGATGTTAATTGTGTAAGCAAATTAGACGGTTCCACTATTAAGACATGGAATGCTTGTTTATGGTTTATTTGCTCAATACTAACGGGGCGCCACGACTTCGACCTATATCAAAAAATAGGCATGGAAGAAAATGCAGTAAAAAGGAGGCAATCAAGGTGGAGAGATTTTGGGTTGTAAGTTAGACCGTTTCCATACAGAGGAAATTCTATACAGCGTTGAATGGGGCTCACAACTCGATGCTGACTTGGACAGGATAAGAAATGAATCACGTTGCTTCATTACACGGTTGGGACCTAGTGAAACAGAGATCACAAAGTCATATCGCCTTCGGTCTAAAATGTGCTAGAGCATTCCACCGTTTCCGCAGAGATAGGGGACACTTGTCGCAGGTAATGCCGAAGAATAGTAAACTGACTCTTTTAGAAGTACATAGGAGATATGAGCAAAAACAAAAAGAAAAACAAAAATGTAGCGATTGAAAGTCTGCCGCCTAGTTGTCCGTGTGATTTTGCCAGTCCGTTACAATTCGGAAGCAATTCCCAAGTACAGACAATTCATTGAACTTTACTCAACCTTATAGATTGTACTGTAAATCATATAGACAAACCTTCGAGCGTTCCTTCGGCTCGTAGATTCATTCTTGATTTGCCAGTCCGAGAATAAACTCGAAACCGCAGGGTTGATGACAAGAGCGTGTCTGAAATCAGTTACCATTAGTTTTGAACACGCAACCACATCCGAGGCAGCTAAGCTTGCTCAGAGAACTTTTTTTTCAAAAAATAACTTACAGTATTATATTGGTAGGGACTGTGGTTGAGTGGATTATGAGATAATGTCTTCCGAATGTTAAATGAACATTTAATATTAACACATCAACACTTTTATCTCATGGTAACACCCAAAGTAGAGAGAAGAAAAGCAGTTCCATGAATATAGAAGAAGCCCGTAATGAATTTGGAAGAAACTGTTTAAGCAGAGAAGCCCTGTGCTTATGAGAAAGAGAGCACATGTTCGAGATTTGTTATATTCTATCGAGTTCTCATGCCCAAGGTGATCCTCTTTGAAAGGAACCTATGCTGCGCTCAGCACTATAACAGTTTCTGATTCCAGAGGCTTAGTTTTTGATTTTTAGATTAGATCAGATTAGATTTGAGATTTTTTGACGTAATTTTTGAACTTTGTAGCTCAGAGCAATTTTGTTGCACCTTAATTCAATTTTGAAACTGTTTCCCATTTTCATTTCAATTACTCAAAGAAACTAACCTCGATTCAAACCAGTTATCGTGAAAGTCTGGTTGAAAACGGGTTCCTGACCTCTAGCAATTGCTGTTTGATGTTTTGTTTTTTGATTGGATACCGATAAGCGGACCTAGAAAGAAACACTACCGTCATTTCTACTTAGGATATATGGGTAAAGTAATACACGTAATTGGCCCGTGATACTTCATGATAAAATATGATCCTAGTAAACATAAAAAATAATTATTAGTCTACGAACAATGTACTGTAGGAAGCTGATCAAGGTTGGTATTAAGAATTAGGTTTATTTTTATAGGGTTAGCTAGTCAGTATCAGGCTTGACTAAATTATGAAAGTATTGATGCTATGCTATGCTATCTTGATAATCAATGGACGAACAGGCTAGGAAGCAGTCAAACTCTGCTACGATTTTGACGAGAAACCATAGTAGGGTACACTGCAACGTTTGATAAATGCCCAGGACCCCTATATCTCTCTTTTCCGTGCCCCAGATTTTATCCACCGATTTTCAAAAGGGTATGAGGGTTCAAATTGCAACTTCATGCCGAACCTTACAACAATTCGAAATTTTTGTAAGATGTTGCCATGGCTCAATAGTTCAGGCCTGATAAATTCCTCTAACCTTTTGTCTAGTTGGATATGGTGTAGTGCAAACTGGCGCACTATTACACGCATGTTCGGTTCCCGGTTTGTCCTCTACCATACCCAGGTTCTGTTTTTATGCATTTAACAGTTCTGGAAACATTAAAGCCTTGAGTTGATGATTGGCTGGCCACCGTTATAGGATAGGTACGCCCATAAAAACGCTGATGTAAAGGGTAATGAAATCAGTACGGATTGTGCATTCAACAAAGTAAATTTATGAGCCGACCATCAACTTTTATTTCAAAAAATCGCCCCCAAAGAGTGTGCGGAGCAAGTAGTTAGATATTTGTATAAATAATCATTGCACTAAACTATACCTGCGTTGCGTCATCCACAAGAAGACTACATCCGTGTAATGAAATGATTTTTACGATGACGGCATCTTTCTGATTGACGTGTTGGGCGGAGATGCGAAGTGACGGTACTGTTGGCTCAAAACTCTCACCCATAGCCCCATTATAATATGGTCGTGAGAGTTCGAACTGAAAGAAACAGCTTCAGTACTCCTGTCTGTTGATTGATGTCAGACTTATGGATTTTTTTAAGCATTCTGGAAATACTCTCGAGTTTTTATGTGTTACCGTACTTTTGAACAGAAAAAACTGCGTGGTTTTGATTTTTTTTTCTGACAAATATCTTAGAATAGCAGCGTTGCTACAGAAAAAAACTAAATCGATCGAATAAGGTTCATTGAAAGAAAGTCTAAAAAGAGATACCCACTTTGGCTGTAAAAAAGAGAACTTTCACAAGCTTCCACAGCCTCTCAGTCACTCTATTAAATAACAGGATAATCTTACATATATTACAGTATTGATAAAAACCTCTAGAAAAAAGTTTTTCGCTCATTTTCAGCGATTCTGTGAGTTGTAGAGCCTTAGCTGCACTATTGAGCGAAGACTGCTCACTTATTGTTGGCCTTAAATGGGACATCATCACATGCATGGTCCGGGTATCGTATCCCGGACTGATACTCGCCCGGGCTAACTAAGTTTTCCATTCTTCTAGAATCGAAAATTGGTTCGAGAATCATTTATGGGGATAGAAAAATTGATTGTGCATCGGAAGGTTACCACAACTCTTTGCATAGGCCACATACTCATTCAAACGCCACTACAGCTCTGATTTGTGCTGAAATGCGGGGCGTATGAAACTTTTCTCTGAACTCTATCTACATTGTACATCCTAGAACCCTCCTTGTCCTACAACCAGTTTCTTAGAAAAGTCTGGAAGCTTTCGCCTAATCGTGTTGATTAGGTTTTATATTTTACTAATAAAAAGCAGTTCAGCAGAAATTTGAAACACTCACATCACGTTTCTCGATAACAATCTTCGGCCGCGGCTCATATTTCTCGAACTCGTCATCGTTTTGAGGCCTATAAATATGGTTACAATTACATAAGGAACTTCACAGAATTTTTGTTCTTCGTACAAAAAATATGGATAACAAGTCACGGTGGAAATGCAGTTGAAGAGGACCACTCGTTTTCGCGGGTGGCGGTACTTCTCCCCATATCTCCAAAGCAAGGGGCAGTGATTCCGCAGCGACTATCGAAGCCTTCCACTGGAAATTCAAACAATCGACCTAAGGCGCGCGACAACGCGCGATCAGGTGTGGCGAGCTCGCGCGATTTTCGGGAAGAAGTTACCACATCCGTTTTTTCAGCTTTGTCTGCGTTGTCTCGATGGAATAGTGTCCTACTGGTCAATTCCTCTTCCATTCCAACTTTTGGCATAGGGTCACCATCTCACTTACACCATTCCCGATGCCATTCCATCAAGGTTCGAGCTTTGAACTCCGTTCCTCTCACTCGAAATCTATTCCTACAACCATCACAGATCTACGAAATGGTTACCCTAACCTCTTATGGTTCTAGCAGGTGGCACCAGAGAGGCAGAGCGTAGCCGCGAACCTTCTTCGAATGAGTTTCCCTATTTTTCTGAAATACGGGTCTTTCCCTAGGGAAACATGTCTGCCCCACAAACGTCCTCCCGATCGGGAGAAAAAGTGGGCGGAGTGAAGACGGGTGGCCTTATCTCTCTTGTATAGCAATGGAAATGACTTCAAAGTGCAAGGAATTTTGAAGTTTTCCGTCACTTTTGGGGTTACTTGAGCTTTTCAATACAATAATTAATAGTTACCCAAAAAACAAGCAGCCAATCACCATATTGATTTCTTTCTGGGAATGTCCGTCAGGCTCCTGTCCGAGCCCGTTCTTCTTATATGGTGAAAACCTACCGTGATCTCTATTTTCGTTCAAAATACTCCTCTAGTCATTACAGAAATAATAGGTAATTTTTGTGCTGACTGCTACTGCCCTGCTCGGAAAGGGTCAAACATGGGCTCCTGGGGTAGGTTCAAACTATGTTTTGGTTGCTTTTTTTAAACTGCAACATTCACCTAAAAATAATAGGAAACCTAAAAGGCAAGCCAAATACCTGGGAGGGCGAAGTATTGGTACGAATAGTACGCCGGCATGTGGGCAACATTGCATCAAACATGACGAAAATACCGAATACATAGTCAATAAGTTAAAGTCTAGGACATATTTCAGTTGTATGTACACGAATACTGCCTGAAAATGAATTTGTTCAATTTGAAGGTAAATAATGTGTTCCATTCAGACTATCGAAAAATTCACGAAAGTTTGTAATAATTGGGGCCATACTGAAGCACCCTACAGTACAGTACTTCTCCTTATTGCTTAAACACGACGAGAAATAGAGGTTTCACATTTTTCCGTTCTCTGAACATCTACGGAGGGTACCGATAATACCATGGTCGGATCCGAAAAGTTAGCGATCTGATTAGTGCAGGGAGAATAAGATTTGAGGTACCGGCCGATATCGCTGTTTTTACGTTTTTTTTCTTTTTAGGTAAGACCTACGCAAGACCCTTAGGGCAATTTTACTCTTAACTGCAACTTCTGGAAGTTCCATACGAGGTGAGCATGAAATAGCAGAGCGAATAATGCAAATTAATGGTCATTAGATCGGTTCAAGTCCAGGTCTGAAAGTGCTCTATCCAGACAAGGGCTCGAGATGGTTAATCCCATACCAACACAAGGTAGCACTTTAAAGCTTTGATCCCTTTGATGATCGTATTTTAGATTATCTGTGAGATGAGAAATACACTTTCCTGATATCGATTTGATACCAAATACATGGCGCATTCAAAATTGAGTACCACCAAAACATAACGATGACATACTCTGTGAGTTGCAGTAAATAAATGAGGATGATGAGTAGAAGCTCGCTGAAGATGAATGTGAGGAATTCAAGTATCAGTTCAGCAAATTGGAGGGAAGTAGTAGTGAAACAGAAAACAGAGTAAACAAGCGGCTAAGGGGAAATTAGATGAAGAAGTAATCGAGCATCGCTCAAGCAGACTCCCACGCATGCCAAATTCAGACTCCACCGCACCCACGTTGAGAGAAATGCGGATGTGTGGCGCATCCAAAACACACTGGCACTTTCAGTGCCAGGAAAGGTCTAACTTCAAGATTGGGCAAGGATTCCCTCACAAAATCTTGCGAATGACCTTCTTTACAGTGTATTTAATGATAACTCTTTTCTACTGAGCCATTCCAGATTGAGAAAAAGAATCTTGAGCAAAAAAGTGCCCTTTTGAGCATTCAATCTGCTGTCTAGTATTTTTTATATTTGAAAGTCTCAGTGTATGGTTTTTATAGCAGAGTACATGATGTCAGAGATAAATATAACAAAAATTGATAAAAACTTGAATGTACATGACCGTGAGGGACAAAAAACGATTCTTTTCGAAAGTCCCATCATTATCTGAACATCTCTTTCATGGTTTATCCATATTGTGGTTTCGATTTAGCATAACTTCAGCACACTCAGACTTTTTCAAATATTCTCTTCTCTTGCTTTATAATTTACTATTTTCTTATTGACCTATCTACTAATATCATTGGAATCATTATTTATTAAGTTACTCGTTTTTCTCCATACAATAAATTCATATTTTCCCGTATATTTTCCACTACCGGAATATCGATCAGGCGACCGATAGTTCTGAAACAGCATATTTACCCGAAAATTTTCCCTTCCCTTTTCCGAAAAAAATAGGATTCATTGGTATGGACAATCGTCACTACTGACGGCTTTTTTTGAAAGTTTTTTTGGAAAAAATCCCAAACCACTAAAGTATTACGGCCGATGGCGGAAAAGACCACAAACTTTGATAGATAAGCATTACAATCGAGTCGCCATGATAAGTAGTAAACGTTTACTACAAGCGACCACAACAAAGAGAGACTATCGTGCTGGCGATGAACGAATGTAATGAGGATAAGGCTTGAAGGCCCTCTTGACAATAAGTAGAGCTGTGAAATGTCATAGTCCGCACTGTTTAAGTCCGAGAACTCGAGGATTTCCACTAAAACTCAATACAGAGTTCAGAGTATGTCACCCTTTTTTCAACCAGACTTCAATGTAAATGTTGTTTCCGTCAGAGGCTCTAAAGAGGCAGAATAAATCAAAGCTTGTTAAAGGTGAAAGAGTCGTTAAAATTTAAGAATTGAAGTGTTTGACGTCAAACAGCTTCGCACGATGCGTCACTCATTCTGTCGTCTAAAAACCCAAAGACAGATACGTAGATTCTACTACTAAAAACGTTTGGAAGAATACGCTTATCGAAGAAGCATCCGCCAGTGTTCCCACAATTGCCTATCATGGAGCGAAAACAACTGATTGACTTAGAGATATCGTAGTTTTGCTCTGTATGGAATGGATTTGTTCCTAAGAGCTGTTCCGTTACAAAACATCGGGTCCTCAGTGCTCTAAACTGGCCCAAACTTTACACAGACAGAAATCCCCAAAGAAGGCAATGTCTGGGTGATGTCATATAGGTCCCGAGCTTTCGTGAGAAAAATGTGCTGCTTTTATGCAGCTTAACCACAATTTTGGCCACTTTCCAAAAATTGCTTTGCACTTTGGAGACAATCTACCTCGTGTACGTCGTCACCAACGAGTTTTCTAGAAAATAATTATTTTCGTATTCTCTGCTGAAACAATGGAGTACTCCAGTTGACTGGGACAGCTGAACACAACATTTTTTTGAACAAGGCTCAGACATGACGTGGGGTGTACCCTGGGATGGGCTAATTTGAAGATTTCGGTAGCCCAAAATTGATTTTGGAAGCTGGGATAAGGATCGTAGACAGAGGATCTATGAGCTCATTATAGATACCAGCTGTAGTCGACCGATCTCCAAACAACTAGGGAATAAGCATAGAATCACTTCCGTTACGACGTCAGGATTATTATCATGAGAGGGAAGGCGGGGAAGGATTATAGAGGTCTCCACAGCTTTTTTGTTAGGGTATTCAGAAGAAGGGATCAAATCTGCAAAAAAAGGCTAATCCATTCTACTAAATGACACAATTTTTTGAGTAAAAGCCGTGGGATCATCACGCATTCTGCAAGAAAAACCATTCACATGTGAATAACGTCCGTTCCATCCGAGTGATTCCTCAATGACGAGTCACTTATTGCATCATAATAAAACCTGCCCAGTTATTTATTTTCATTAATTAAACATAACCCAAATCCCTGGCGCATTCTCAAAGATTAATGATTCCGAATGATAACAAATATATGGCTGAAAATATACCATGTCAGCTTCGGGGGTTCTTTATCTTTGGACTTTTCGAGGGCCCCTTCTAATTTCTTTCCAATTAGGAGTCAATTCTTTACGTTTTGCAAAACGAATTTCTGATTCTATCGTTGAATTTTGCTCCTGTTATCTCTACTACTATCATAATTGTTATCGTTATTTATTTATTTATTTTATACACAAAAGGATGTGCCATACAACACAAAAATAGAAAGTGAAAGGCGATGGTGCTCTTGAAAACAACAAGAAAAAAAAGCATCAACCTGAGAAAAATTGAGGGTAAAGCCAGGGAACGTGATACAGCTTTTTTCGAATAATTAGGGTGGGTATTGTACAGGAAAGGGGGGTGATTGCAAGAGAGAGAAAGAAGCAAGAAGCTCGCATAAAGGAGCATTCGTGGAATGATGCTGGAACCTTTCTCATATGTATCATTATCATTAGTTATCATTAGTGTATAGGAGTCCAAGAATTTATGAGTAATATTTTCATGAAACACGGTTTTCAAATATACGATATGCTTAATGAAGCTCAAGAAATGCAATAAATTGAAAAGGAAGCCAAGGTAATTGGCAAAAATATCATATTATTATATTATTACCATTAAATATTATCACTTTCAATCAGCCTCGACTTCTAGGTAAAGCCCATGCTGTGGTTTCCATGCAAACCTTGTACCATCTCGTACCAGCTGCTTTTATTGCAGCAAGCTTTGATTGTGTAAGGCTTCTGCCTAGACGGTCCTTTAAATTGAACCTTAAGTTAATTAAGCAATGAAAATCTGATAGTATGGCAATTCTGTGAATGCCATCAACCATTCTAACCACCGCCCGATCTCAATTTTGCATTTCAGAAACTACGACGATCCTCATTTTCTTTGGCACGACCATTTGTATGGAGAACTTGGATACCTGTACGAGACTTCAAGCGTTCCTGTACTGGGGACCGGCTCATAAAGCAAAATTCAAAGTTCATCTACATTTACTTGCCATTTTTATCGCTATCGTATACACCCTCAAAGCTGAAACTATTTGCTCCAGTTGTTAGGATAAAAACTTGACCCAGATGCTTTTCTACTGGTAGAAATACACCCCAATGTCTCCATGATTCTGTATAGAAATTCGATCCGCGGCCTATAGAAATGACCAACGTCCCAGGGACCTTTGCAAGACCTTTGCGAATCCTCTATGTTTGCACTCACCCAGTTAAGAATGACGAAAAGGGAGTACGCCGAATTATTGTTCATCTGAATCTGGTTTATCTTTTGAAAGTCTCGTGGGACTATTACAGGAGATACTAGAAGTTAATGGTTCGGGGTTCATGACGAAATCGGAGATTCTTCAACAGTAGCAGGAAATAGTAGAAAAGGGAGAAAGAACTGCCCGATTTCAATGAAAATCAAACCCAGGAGCAATATAGATTTCATAATGTTCACCTCTGCCCGACTTCAAATTCTTCTTGTAGCTTAGCCTCGAACGTGAAGAGGAACCAACTGGAACGAGTAAGGATTTTCGAGTGATAGTAACCTACATTTCATAGCCATTTCAAAGCCTTTCCAGAAGGCAAAACTTCAAGCATCCATCATTATCAGAAGGGAATCTTTCCTATCTTCGATCCAGCTCTGGAAGCGAGAGAAACAGAAATCTTTGGCTCTTAGAGATCAAGGGAAAGATCAAGTGTGCTACGAATAAGTAAGACCAAGTAATCAATTGAAAATAAGTGGCGATCGTGTTATAGAGAGAAGAGGAATGGAACAATGAAAGAGCAAAACAGGTGGAATGAAATGCCTTTTGGAAGTTGTGATTAAGACCCACCAAATCAAACAATAACAGAGAAATTCAATCAGCTTAAGGAAAAAATGTAAAATAGTTCAAACGATCGCAA